ATATATAATATATATATATATATATTTCTCTTCCAGATTTTGTTTTCCTGGGAGGATTTTCAGAGCTCACCAAAAACAGAGTCAAAATAAGTTTATATTTTGGGAAATTCAGTTTTGGTTTTTAGTCCTGAAGAAGGAAGACAACAGCAAATTACACTGATTCAAAAATAAAAACAACAAACACACACCACACTCTCAGAAAAACAGAATGCAGCCCTGACCTGGTTCAACCAGACAACTAGCTAACACGCTCTTGAACTTTTTTTCATGGAAGTGAAGGTATTTGGAGCAGTCTTAACTTAAACTACCATTTTTACTACGATTACAGAAATTCACACTAACACTTTATTTTGGAGACATTTAGTTTGATACTTAACCAAAGCAATAAATGAAGTGATAGAAAATGCAAGGCAACACTTTTTCCCAAGCAACAAAAATTTGTAATCTTACACATGTAAAGAAAATGACTTTCCATACATACCTGTCGCCTTTGGCTTACTGTGATTGAACAAGCTTTTGTCCCCACCACCTCTTGAGGTATAGGCAAGCTTGGGAGGTCTCCTGTCCTGTGACACAGTCTCTAAGATGTGGTATATAAAGAGTATTAGCTTCCCTTTCCTAAGCTTTTACTATGGCACAGAGAAATTCAACTTGGAATGTAACTGAACCGAGATCTAGCATTGCCAGCTTTAAAACCGAGTGGAGCAAAACCCTGTTTGGCACATAACCAACAATTTATGTACACTGGATTTGCTTCATCACATCAGCAATTACTTTACTCTGAAGTCTACTATTATTTCTTGAACATACCAAACAAACTGACTTCACGTTCTTCAATGTACGTGCATTCCTCCATTACGAGAAACAAATGCATGAAATTCTAAACTTTGTTTTCTGCCAACACATCTACAACAAACGCTCTTTTCCAAAAAACTGAGACGTCCCCATGAATTCTCCAGAGAAGAGAGGAGAATTCATGCAGAAAACTGCATCTCGACTAAACCGACAAGTAGAAGGCGAACAGAAGAAAAGTTAGCCAAACTGAAGAGAAGGCAATGCTTACAGCCTAGGACTGTGCAAGACTGCACACTCATTAGTACCCGTCTTCAGGGTGAGCACAAACGAAAGTTTCTTATTAAACTTTTTTCTTTCATCAGAAAAGGAATCAGAGGACTGCAGCGGTAACAAGTTTACACTATTCAGTGAATTACTGCGGATAATGAACTTTTCCACAGTCGTCTTATGAATTTTCAAGTATTTACTCACAGAACACATAAATAATACTATCAATATATTTCAAGCACTGAAAGAACAGCTTTCTGATCCAAGATATTTAAAATCCTGGAGTAAACAGAAGAACGTTCAAGACAAAACATTCCTACAGACACTCGCATATTCATGAATACTATACAACTGTTCAGTACTGCGAATACCGTACAGAAATTTTGTTCAATGTTAAACCTTTTCTACTAGTGAGACTGCAATCAAATGGAGAATGAAACTGAAAAGAAGTATAACACAGCAAGTTAAAATACTTCAAAAGAATTTATGATATTAATTCTCCAGTATTGTTCTAATTATATAACTGTGCTTAGATGGAGATGCTATGAAAGTTTGCCTTCGGGTTAAGAAAGCCGGGCATACCTGGTATAACATCATTGATATGCAAAAGAAGTGTACTTTCAACACTTGCAAAACTGCACAGCTGTATTCCATTATATCGTCCATCCCAGTTTCCAATAGGATTATCCTAAAAATAGAAAACATGTTACATTGATCCCAAGAGAAAATTTACATCGTACAGAAGACACACGTACGTCTTTAGGAACGTTACAGCAGAAAGTAGGAAAATGAGGAAAATGTTTCTGTAACAAGCTTTGTATTTAGAACAGTCAAACATTACAGGCCTAAAGGACAAAAACAAACTTAAAAACTGCTCATTTGAGTAATATTTTAACAAGCACTCCTCTACTAAAATCCATTATTTATTAACAAGTTAGAACAATTCCAGTGCATTGTTAGGCAACAGCGACTGCAATCAAGAAAAAGGAAGCATCTGATCTACAAAAACAAAACCAGAACACGCTTTAGCTACCAAAAATTTGAAAGTTGTTCATTTTAACATATACAAGTTGCTAGAAATAACTTTAATGACAAGCTTCACATTTTCTTGAAAGATCAACTTTTTTACTTAAGACTCAGTACTTTTAAAGGTAGAACAAAGTCAAACAAACCAAAGTTACATACAAAAATAAAGCTTTTAAAAATAGCTAACAAAGAAAAAGGCATTCAGCCTACTTTTTTAAACGGCAAAACGAAGCCAGTCTCACAAGACAAACACTCAACTTCATTACTTGAAGACTGCCATCTAACATTGCAAGTAGCTCAGTGGAGGCTCCTCAGAGTAACCAGAGTATTTCTCCTGAACTGTTTAGTACCAAATAGGATACCATTTACCTGATGCCAAAACAATTCCCACCAAGGGGCATCTTTGAACAGAAGCATTTATTTCCCATTTTAGGTCAGCCTCCGCTGAAGTAGCTTGTGGATAATGTTGTTTCCTCTATATTGCATGTCATTTACCAGCTAACACACATGCAAAAATTATTATAGTCAGAGTATTTTCTTACCATGTCCACTCCAACAACGTATCCTAAACTTTCGTTTCCTGGCAAGACATCACAGAATATAACTGTGCCATACTCTATACTCTCTCCTATCTTCAGAGAAACCCTGGAGTTGATCTCCAGAGGAGGAAGTTCTACCTGCATTGCGTCAACTGGAGCTGCATAGTCACTTTCCAGTTCATTATCATCATCTTCCACCAGCTCCAGTTTGTCCAAAGCAACAAAAACCCCACAATCCTCATCACATCTGAAAAGCTGCTTGCCTTGGTACTGTCCATCAGTAAAGCCCTGACCGCGTCCTTCTTCCTAAGTGTCAGAGGAGGGAGAAGAGAAAAAAAAAAAAGCAATGTATTTTGTGCAAAAGCAGACTACTTCAAAAGCAGTAACATAATCCAGTGTTGTGCAGAAATCTCAGTAAGAATTTGCCTGATGAACTATCATTATACTGGGAGGGTGCTATTGCTGGAATTTGTGGCAAATACACCGTCGGTCTTAGGGGAATAAATGGTAAAATGTCATTATATTAGAGAGTAGCTGCAAGCAGAAGGCTTTCTACTCAGAGAAGCATGTTTTCTTCAGGTCCAGATCTTGCTTCCATCATCAAATTTCTGCCAGATCAAGACAAGACTACTTCATAGTAGACATAATGCTAAGCATTCAAAAATTCCACTTAGATGCCACATGAAAAGAACTGATTTCAGAAGCACTTGATATTCCCTGAGGAATATTGGCCTGATACTCCCTGAGGTTCTTAGTGGGAACTGCAAAGAATTTGGGACAAGTTTAAAGAGGACTTTGAAAAAATATACTTCTAGTGCAGGAGTGGCACTCTCCTGAATCTAATCTTTCAAAAGCTTATGTTTAACATAATTTTGCAGAAATATCTCACTAGGAGAACACAATGGCAACAGTCTCTGTGTTAACTAGCTCTCAGTTGACTTTCAGTCTCTACAAAACCAGCAGTCCTAAAATTGAAGCCTGCATTAATGTCTTGTATCCTGGCACTGCTCTCACGTGCAGGGAAAAACAAAGTCCTCGACAGAAATCTAAGAGCCAGATATTTGCCATGTGAGTAATTAAATCTTTCTAGGCTGGTAGAGTCAGAGTATGTTCAGGTCTTTTTGCCAGCCCATGTACCTCATCAAGCTTCCCTTAACGTGTAGGATGTTGACAAGGCTGATGTGCTGTGGTGTGGTCACAGATATCAATAACAATACTGAGGGTTACAGAATTTTAAGGGGTAATGATGTTTCTAGAAAAAAAATGTATGATGACTGACTCTTTAAATAAAAGATTTTAAGCTCATCTTATAACGTGTATGTGACGCTCCCCCCTAGCAAGAAACTTACCAACAACTCTACTCCGAAGTATATCCCCGTTATGGACCTTTCCTGCAATAAGGGTCCTCTGAAACGAACAACTCCAGGAAATTTGTCATCTCCTGATCTCAGCTGTACTCTAACAGATGAGCCAATGTCTATTTGGATGCCTTTAGTTAACCTGCTTTTGCTTTTAAACAGACTGTATCTTTCTTCACAGTTAGTAATGGCCAAAAGCAACTCGGCTAGTTTTTCATTTATTTCTATAACATCCTTCTCATCCACAAACAGGATTGCATGAGGTTGTTCCAAAATCTTTAATCCAATCTGCAGTTTCTTGCCTTTACAAGGAATATTTCTGGAGTGCCCCACAGAAGAACGGTCTTGAAAAAACTGCCCGATGCTACCTTTGGGCACTTTCAAGAGCTTCTGAGTCTGCTTGTCTATGACACTGCATTCTTGGAGAAGCAAATAAAAGATCCGCTCTT